TGAGGATATTTAGAGGAGCAGGGCCAGATGCTTAGATGGTGTAAATCTACATGAGGTTTGAAGCCAATTGCAATCACATTGGCTTACGTTAGCTGAGCGTCTGGTCCAGAATCCTGTTTTTAAAATGAATTAGGAAACTTAGGAAGTGATTTGCTAGGGCATAACACATATTTTCCCTTTTAAAACACTGTATAATGTAACAAAAAAAACCCTGAGACAGCGTGCTGGTAAGTGTTCTTGGTGCAGAGTGCTCTGTCTCTCCAAAGTGCAGCATGAGTAATGCAAGGTTACCGCAGTAAGTACACATTTCTTATTGGATATCAGAGAAAATAGGTGTGTAAAACCCATGTAATTTGATAGCACATACATCATTGCTGCCCCTGGGACTATTGAATCATAAAGCTACATATTTAGCACTGTAAAAGAATATTCCTCATCTTTTCACTGGGAAAATTCTATGGAAATGAGTGGGGGAAGGGGAAAGAATCTTATAAATCAAGCATTAAAACAACAGGCAAACTCTAGTGTTGCTGCTGAGACACAATGTATATCCTTTTTTTTATAGTGACATTTTATTTTAAGTGCCCCTCTCCTCTCAGTGTTTTTAGTACCGGTGTTAAATTACAGTAGCACTCTTATGGAAATACATGCAAGATTCACATGAATACCAAATACATTCATTATGATCAGTGCTGAATTCCAAATGAGAATAGCTTTCTCCAATCCCCCCCATGTTAACCTTCAAGACAAGTCAACACATTTCAAACATTCTAGTCTTATTTTAATTTGAAAAACAGACTTAAATATACCACAGACAAGTCAGAGCTATTCAAAGCTGTGGGGGATGGGGGTGGGACTGTCGCAGCAAGGAGACACAGAGAGAAAGAGAGGTGAAAAAGAGAGCCAACATCAGCTCCCCTGGGGTCTGCTGTAATCAGCAGACAAATGGTCTATGCTTATAGTAAGTATTCATTCTGCAGCAAGAGGCTGCCAACAAGAGCCTTCCTATGTCTGTTTGGAAATACAGTACTAGCTTTCCTCTATTCAAATGCTTTGAAATAAAAAAGAACTGCTGACAAACACTGCTTTGGGCATTTGACACTGCTTTTTGATCTAGTTACTCAGACAGTGTAAAACGAACAAATTAGGAATTTACTACAAAAGAGTCTCAGTTCTAGCCTGCTAACGTGTCAGGATATATAAAAACAAGACTGTTAAAAACAAAACCCCTTCCTTTTGTGTCTTCCATGGGTAAATTGAGGTTTTGTATCAGTTACTGGTTCCCATGCAGTAAGTAATATGAAACAAACTCAGTGGTTTAGACACACATCCACTGGCATGTAATATATTGCTGTACATTAGACATACAAGGTTTATAAACACTTTTATGTAGCTGCACTTTAGAGTATACATATATAAATATATATTTTTTAAAATGTGTCAGTGCCTAAAAAAAAAAATCTGTTTCCCATGAGGATGTGATTTGTTAATTAACCTTTTTTTTCTTGCTAAGGCTAAAATATCTGTCTGTCATTGAACTATAAGTTAATAGAGTTACCAGTTAATCTGCCACCTAGAATCATTCTAATTCCAAATATTTCATAGTGTCATTCAAAATATACTTTCATACATGACTTATTGTATAGAGGGCATTACCCAAGCTGATTTGTGCCGCAAGGCAACGTCATGTGCTTTGAAGTATGTGATGTGTGCATATGGAAAATATTGAAAAGCAGCTCTTTTGAAACCACATCTCATTTTAGAAGGAGTGAATGAGTGCAAATGAGGTAGGCTGTTAACACAGAGCCAAAGAGCAGACATTACACAATGGTCCCCAAGATGCATAATGAAATTAGATTTTTTTTAATTCAATGATCCAGATGGATTCATTGATGGATAGTGAACCGTTTTTGAAATCTGTAATAACCTGATATATAATTGCAGGATAGCAGCTACTTACCCATTCAGCTGTTCTGTCAGCATTCCTGAGTTTAATTATCAGATGGCCCTAGAAAATCCATTTCTCTCCTCTTTTTCGAAAAAAAAATCAAGTGTCAATCACAGTTTGCATTTTTATACCTTGTCATAAATCAATGGTTCAGGATGCATGATTACAGTGATACTGATAGAAAAAAATTACAATCGGCAACTGTGTCCCAGTGGTAGACTTAGAATAATGTTGTAGCCATGATGGTCCAGAAATTCTGGGAGAGGCAAAGATTTCTTAGGGTGATATTTTGTTTTATTGGAGCACATGCATAGTTGGGCCAAAGTTAGACATGCTTTCAAATGCAAGTCTTTGTCATGCTGGGTTATGGGGAGCCAGGCTTGGATTTCCTCAGGTATCAAGGTACTGACTGAGGTCAGGAGTTATCTGGGTCAAGAAGCCAGGAAGTCAATCCAAGAGCAAGGTCGAGAAACAAGCCAAGTCGGGATGTCAGCAGATCAGGTAAGAAGTGGAGTCAGAGAGCAATCCAAGTTGGGAAACTGGGAGATCAAGCAGAGAGTGGAGTCAGAGAGCACAAGCCAGAGAGGAAGAGCATTTTGTCTGAGATCATCCTGAGTCCTATTGCCGAGACCCTGCCTGCTCTGGGTCAGGGGTTTATATGGGGGAACTGGAGGGCCAGCTGACCCTGTCCAGTCACTCCAGTGTAAGTGAGTGGCCACAGCTGGGTCCGGCTGGAGGCTTCAGGATATTCTTGACTAGCCTTGGTGACCAGCTGTAGGGTGGCAGGCTGGGATAATCAGGTGTACTGATCAGGCTGAGGCCCCAGGTTTGAGGTTGTGTCCTGGCAGTCTTGTATTTGAAAGCAGTTGGTCCAATACAAGATATCCCCCTAAGAAATCCTTGCCTCTCTCAGTAACAGACGAACTTCTACAAACTGGGGGTCCACCACATTTCTTGATCAGGCTTGTGGTAGACAGATCTAAAAAATATCTGCTGTTCACTAACTAGGATCCCCTTGAAGAGGCAGTCTTAATACTTGGTAATAGTATTACCACAAAGTTGATGAGGATTTCAGAAGTATTCCCAGTGATGAGTCAAAGGAGCTGCATTTTAATGAATAATGTCCTGGCTTGGCCCTACCTCCTCACTCTCTTAAAAGAACAAGTCTCTGCTGACACACATGCACAATGGAAAGGAGCTTGTTCTGGATGTGGTTCTATTATGTGGTGCATGTATATGAATATAAGGTTGCTCATCAGGGGCAGTGAGGAGGTAGGGCAGAGCAGCGATTACACATCAAAGGGGAACTTTCTTTTTCTCATTTTTAAGTGAATGTTGTGATAGGTGCCTGATTGACGGTTCTAGAGATTTTATTCCTATTTATACCAACAGGCCATCTACAAAACAGGAAGCATAAGTACAAGCTTCATTTACCAATGTGCCCCAGTCCTGAGAGGTCTCCAAGCACAGTTTATATAAGGAAAGCATAGTTTATATAGGGAATACATGTTTGTATACAGGCATATCTGTAGGAAGCTAACAGAAAGCTAACAAAAAGCTGCCAGATCAGTCTAAGCTGGAGTCAGACAAATGACTTGGAGACAATGTTTTTTGTCTTCCATTAACAATCAGCTTTACCTTTCAGTCTGTCATCCATTCATTCCTCAAAACCTTATTTTACAATAGGGATTAAATAGAATAGAGATTGCTGATATTTCTAGATACCCTCACCTCTCCCCCCATTACAGAAACTCAGTTCCTGTGGTGACCACCACAGGTTTGATACATCTGGAAGCAGAAGTGATAGAGAACATTTCAATGTTGTGTAAGTAATAGGACAACACTAATTTATCATATTCTGGGTTAGGTATTTCTTCAAATGAGAATCCTAAATGGAATCTCAGTAAATAGGCAAAATATTTGTCTTAAACTCATACAGTCAAAACAAGCAAATTCTTATCATAGTTATTGGGAACAGCAAAAAATTAAGTGAGGAGCTAGAACAGACTGCCAACTTGGCCATATTCTCTGATCCCCATTGCACTATACCTGCACTTTGATAGACATGGACTAGATCACCAGGGGTATCATAGCTGACATGTTAGATTGCCTGGGGAAAGAGAAGGTACATGTAGCTTTTCATTACTTTCCTATCCCCACAATTAGATTTTATGAAATGAACCACAGCACAATTAGAGCAGCCTCATATTTGCTCTAACTTGAACTGGTGAATAAATGCTTCAGTTCACAAAGAGCTACTATACTAGCCAAAATCACAGCTGCATATGATACTTTGGTTCTGTTCTCTTGAGGCCTGTGGCTGTCTCAAAATGCCTGTACCAGGCTTGTTCATAAGAGGCAGTGAAGAGAAAAGGGGAAGTGTGGGATAAGGTTGGAGAAAAAAAACAGGCATAAATCTTCAACAACTGAGGATTTATCCCATGACTCATAGGGAGATTGAGGAGCAAAGGGTGAGACTATTTGGGACAGTTGTACCAACTAATATTATGCTACATGGCTATACACTTGAATATGTGAATGTGGTAGTTCACAGAGTGACATTTCAGAACAGAACTCCTGAGTCCTCCACTGCTGGTTTCTTTTCAGAACAAACTACACTTTGTGGCTTTAGGTTTAACAAAGATCACTTTTTGTTTGGAGCTTCCCTGGAAGCTGGACCACAAAGAGCATAGTGAAGTTCTGAAAGCCCAGGATCTATTACATTTCAAGAGCATACAGTGCACTTTGAGGATAAAAGGAGCAAAATATCAGAAATTACAGAGTGGTGGTAATTTGAAAGACCAGATCAGCAGAGAAGTTGGTCATCCAAGTCATACCCAAAAAACCATTTGCAACCAGTGGAGACTGCATAAGCTACCCACATATACCCCAAAGCCTAGACTGCTATCCTGATTAAAGATAAGCATATCTTCCTGTCTAAGGGCTTTTGCATGTGATATTTGAATAAAACTCTATTGCTGCTGATGAGAGAGAGATTCCATCTATAACCAACCATCTTTCTCTGCCTCCTACATATCTCCTTTCACCTAAGTCAAGCATCAGAGAAATGCTGTCATCTTTCAACCTCCACTGAAAAGGTCCATTATCACCAGCCTCTCCATACAAGAAGTAAAAGGTAAATCACAATGAAGTAATTTATCAGCGTGGGAAGAATCCCACTGAGAATTGACTTATAAAATGAAAACTGAAGACTACTTTGACTACAGCTACTCTTCTGTACTTAAATTGTCCTTCTTGCATCATTTATTCTGAACACATTTTCAAGGCAGATGGAAACTAACTGATGAGTAGGTCTATGAGTATCAAGAGGGTAGACGGATTGACATTTTAAAGGTAAACATCAAGACTTTTCATCCGGAAGATGCAATGGCTGCTACAGATGCTGATATAACTTCTGACAGATAGTGACAAGTGGTAAGTAATGTCAGTTCAAGATGAGAAGCTACAATGCAGTGAAAAGCGATCCACTGAACGTGAATCCCGGAGCACCGAGACTGTACCCAAGAGCCCTGATCTTCCTATTTGGATGATGACTGACCTAAATGCCACAAATGATGCTATATGATCAAACTGATAATAAACATTAAACAAAAGAGTTGCTTCATAAGTTATAGGAGCTGATTTAAACTCCAGGTAGCTAGTAACAGCCCCCAAGAAACTATCTACTACCTGGAGAAAACTGGAGTGCATTATACTCCAGCCAACTATCAAACATAAACTCTTCTACATCAGAACTACTTGGTGGGATAGGAATAGTGTAGGAGCTGCTTTTGTTGGCTGTATGCCTGCTAGAGAGTCACCACACCTGGGGAATATCCAATTAAAGAACTGTGGACAGCCTGTGCTCTCTTTTTTACCAGCAGAGAAGAGAAGCCAGGTTCTATATTAGTAAGAAGGACACTTTAATTTTGTAGTTTGGTTCCATTATGTCTATTTCAGTACCACAAGTATGACAACTTTCTTTGACAAGTTCAAGAATAGGTATCTGGTTAGTGTAACCTTGAATAAGACATGTAACATCAACTGCTGCATTGATCTTCCACCACTATCAGCTGATTAACCAGCCAAAACTTTGGTTTGAAATAAGCCCCCCAAATTTCCAAATGTTTGACCCATATCTAAATAGAATAGTTTACATTCGTGGTACTTCCATGCCAGGCAAATCCAAGAAGTTCAGAGATTCAGAGAAGTAAAACAAAATCAAAACAAAGGAAACTGCACTCTCATGAGTTATTTGAAAAAGAGTCTAGATTTTGTCCAGTTTCAAAGCTCAAATCAGTTCTTAATTTATAAGCATTATTTTCTCCATGCCAATAAATACATAAACATACTCGTTTGATTTATAAGCACTGTTGACTTTAGCTCTCTAAACAGTAAAATGTGAACACTTCACTATATCAAAAGTAAAGGGAAATAAGTAACAAGCGATGTTACATATAAATCAAAGGTAAATTGATGCACAGCAGTTGTGAAGTTTAAATATTAATTCTGGTCACATTCAATCTCTCTCTCTCTCTTTCTCATTTTACAGATTTAAAATTTTTATTCTCTGTTAACCTCATTTGACTTTCCTAATCTTGGTAGTCAGGGGTGTCTTTTCCTTCAGAATGAGTCAAAGCTCTAGCTATTATCAACATAGACATAAATTAATAATTTAAAGAGGGCTACTTAAATACATAACTTATCCAGCTCATTGGGGTGTTTCTATAACCTTTGACATCAAGTGTTTAACATCAAGTGTTTAACAAGAGCTTCCAAAAGAAAAATCAGACACCATTAAATGCCTCTGGTCTTAGAAAATATGGCCTTAGGATAGCAGCACTTAAATGATAAGTAGTATTTTAAATCATTAGCCATAGCATGTTTTAGCAGGGAATTTCTTTTTTATGTTAATATTAGCCATTTCATCAGGTTTTTCAGGCTTCGATGTCTGCCTCCCAAATGTTTTTGCTTACATACTTCAAGAACAAATACATCTCACTCATGCACAAGCAATAAATGCTGATGCTGATATTTTATTTAAAGTCTTCAAACTATGATTCTTATTTTTCTGTGTTAAGTCTCTTGCAAATGAATGACTTCATCTTCCCAAGAAGGTTCCTGTGAAGGGATGGCTTTGCTGTATTTTTTCAATGTTCTTTTATAATAAGTATCACACAGATAATAGTAATAAGGCAATGTTGGTGGTTCTCAAAGAGTTAAAAGATTTAAATTTTCCTCAAGGAGTCTACAGCTAGTGACTCCAAGAGTGTTCTGATATTTTGATTAAGACAAAAATGAGACTTTAGCAGCAGAAGGAAAAAGACTGTTATCTGGAGGGAGTAATATTTTCAGATCTGTCCCCCCGCCCTATCCCTCTCTCTCTCTCTCTCTCTCTCTCTCTTTTTTAATACCCACGCAGCTGAGTCAAGGTTAAAGATCAGCTGGCATCATCAGGGCTTTTCAGTCTCATTTTGTGAGTCCCCCCCGCCCTTCCTCCACTCCTGACATTGATCAGTGCATCAAATGTTTGGTTGTGGAACAACCATAATGGGTTTTGAACTGTGTGCAGTCATGGGGATTTCTCCAGAGGGCAAAACTCATTCTGTTCATGTGAGTGCTTTCCCCCCAGTCCTTTGGCTGCACATTCAGATTGATGCACTGGAAGAATCATTTAAAAATACATTTGATAAAATAATATATTACTTCAGTACCTTTGTGTTATCCAATTAAAGCACCAACTCTGTAAGTCTTGCCAGGAGAGGAATATAGTATTTTCTCGGATACTAATTTAGCATGGAGTATAGCACTGAAAATGTGCTGTTCTCTATAGGCTCTGGAATTTGGCAAATTTGTATTCAAATATCTACTGTAGCTTGGACTGTGCAGTTTCTCCATTGTACCCAAAGAGTTATTTAAATTCAGAGTTAAGCAATCGGAGCTAAAAAATTCACAGCTAAACAATCATTTCAATTCAGAGATCAGTCATGCTGACGGGAAGCTATTTTAAACACAATGGCTCTACTCGCACGTGTAAAGTTACTTAAGTATGTCAGTACATGCAGGTGAAAGGCTCTAAGCTTGATCCTGCATTGCTGTACTCTGTAGAAGTTTTGAGCTATAGCTTTCAATGGAACAGGATTGGAGCCTTAGTGGGATGGGGTTCCTCCTGTAGTTCTTTCTGCATCTACTACAGTAAATATTGAATAATGTAGAGATGGTTTTTAAATACAGAGAATTCTAGTGAGTACCAACACATCCTTCACCTAGAATATTTCACATATACAGGGTGCATCTACACATGTGCTTTACTGCAGAGTTGACTAATTAGCTCCACAGTAAAGTGTCACAGCTGAGATGTGCACCAGTGTTAGGGCACAGTAAATTAATTAACTCTGCCATAGGACAATACTGTCTAGGACAGTATTATCCTATGGCAAAGTAATTTACTCTGTCAAAATATATGTGTAGATGGTAATGGGCTGGTTGGGGCATGAGAATGCTGAAGTGAAGGGGCTGCCTACCACCTAGCCCTGCACTTTAGCTCCCTCATGCCCCAGCCAGCCCCCCTGCTGCTTGATGGTGCCACATGGAGCCTGAGGCTGATCCCTCTGACCCCTACTGGTCTAGGGCTGCTCCATTCTGGCTCAAACTGCTATGGTCCCAGACATACATGTAAATGCTGCACCCAGGAACAGTTTTCTCCAGCGCAAACTGTGCTGGAGTTTATCATGTCACCTTTAATGGCATGTGTAAAGCAGTCATCTACAAACTATAAATGCCAGAAGGCTAAAACTACATGGAGGATGAGGAGGTCACAGATATCATACTAACTTGGAAAACTAGGAGCCAGTCATCACTTGGGATAAATCAGCACAACTCTACTGAAATTAATGGGAGCATGCTCATTTACATCAGCTGAAGATTGGGTCCTTTAATTTATCTGTGTCATTAGATCATTTAATACCATTCATCCTGTTCTACTAAACCATGTGTGGCAGGCTGGTGGGTGGCAGCCCTGCTTGCTGGTTTGAGCTGGATAGCTCAGCTAATTGGTGGGGGCATTTCCCTTCCCCACCAATCAGAAGAAAGCAGGAAGAAGGCTTGCCCTGCCCCAACCTAGGGGCAAGGTAAAGAAGACGACCCAAAGGGGAATTAACCCCTCAGGCTTTCTCATTGGTCTGTTTCCATTCTGGGACGGAGCCTCCGGAGGGGATAAAAGCCTGTGTGCCCAGCACATGGGTGGCTTTGATGAGGGATGATGAAAGGGGCTGCAGAAGACCTGGTGGAGCCGTTGCCCCAGACACAGTTGCCCCAGACACAGTTGCCCCAGAGCAGTTGTTCCAGGAGTGCTCAGGCCTCTGCCAAGCAGAAAGCAGCAAGTGGTTGCATCCCATCCCTGCCATGGAGGGAGCCACAGCATCCATGCACAGAGCATCCGTGAGCAGACTGGACCTCAGTGGCTGCACGGGTCCCCAGCCTTGCATGAGGCAGGAGCCCTCAGTGAATGGATTAGTGCAAAGGGCTGTGGAACTGAAGAGATTGCCGCAGGCTGCACAAGGCAGTGTGGGTCCCCAGCCCTGCACAAGGCAGGAGTCCCTTGATGCACAGATCAGTACACAGGGTTGGTGAAGGTCCAAGAGCAGATGGCACCTCAATGGCTGCATGAGGCAGCATGGGTCACCAACCCTGCATGAGGCAGAAGCCCTCGGTGCATGGATCAGTGCACAGGGCGGTGCATGGGGCAGAGGGAACAGAGCAGATGGAACAGCACTGCTTCATGGGCCAGTGTAGGGCCCCATCCCTCCATGAGGCAGGAACTCCTTTAGTGCAAAGGGTGGTGCATTGCAGGGACCAAGAGAGGGCTGACAGGCCTCAGTGACTGCATGAGGCAGCTCGGGCCTTCCTGCAGTGAGCAGTGACTGGGTGGATAGACCACCCCAGCGAGGGACGATGACCCACCTCCAACCCACAGATAGACGAGCCTAATCCTCTAAAGCTGTTGGGAGTCATGGGTTACCTGGGAAGGGGATTTTCCACAGGGGAGGAGGGGCTCTCCCCCACCTTGTATAATCAAAGGGAAGTCCCTGATGAGAAAGAGGAAGGAGGTGAGCTGGCCTGCAGCTAGGCCTTCACGCTCCCACAGCATACATACACCCGCTGATATCCTTTCAATTGAAGAGGGGGTACCAGGTGCATACCACCCAGGTTACACATGTTTGAATGGAATTGAACTGTATCAGTTTAGAAGTAGACTAGATGTTTAGCAATACTGCAACCATGGATCAAGGCCTAATACAAGTGGGGCCAAAGATAACTGAATCAAAATTAGAAATTGCCCAGAGGCTCTGATGCTGCATGGTTGAGCATGTTACAGAGAGAGAGAGAAGGTGAACTTAAAATGATACATCTAAGGTTTCCACCATCAATAATTATGATCTTTCATCATCAGGGAGAGAGAAACCTGAATAATTTTTTAAAACAAATTATCCACTGTTTTGTTCACAGCAGACAGTGCCAAAATGAACATTGTCTTGTTAAAGGCTACTTGTGAAGAAAGCAGGAAGTGGAAAATCAATTTTATAGGTAGGAGAGATTATCTAGAGGAAAAGTTCCATAAAAAATAAAGATTATCTCATCAAAATGTGGACAAATTACAGGATATGGAAAAGCCAATGCCTCCTTCACTAGTCTATCAGCTGCTCTCAATTTTTTAGTATTTTGTTTCTTTCTTAATCAGGAAGTACTTAGTCTCACAGAGTGGTGAAAATAGCAGCAAACTGACATATTTCCCAGTATGAAATTTTCATTATCAATGTCTGGACTTAAAGGTGAACAGAATTGCATTTATTTTACATTTAATGCTTGCTTTAATGAATGTAGATGGTGCCAGATTAACAGCTCTGGAAAACAAACCCCCACACTTCTCTCTCCACATAAAAATTGAATAGTGACAACGGTGCAAATCACCTAATATAACCTACCCATATCCCTCAGCTCTGACCTGAAGTTATGACCTCCACTAGTTAAATCATAAGTTGCTCATTCAGTTTCTTCTGCTGAGACAGCCACACAAATATGTCATTTGTGAAGGTGGGTAACCCTGGCTGGCCAAAAGGAACTTGACTCAGACCACCAACTCATTATACAATGAGCACAGAACTACCACCAGATGGTAATGTCTCTTGGCTCACTGCTGACTTAGACTTGATTCAAATCAGTGACCCAGAGTGAAAAGCTTCATAAACCCTTAGCAACTCACTGAGCCATTCAGGGCTTAAGGGGGAAGGGGGAGGGAATAAAGGAAGTCTTAAAGGAGACCTACAATCCCGTGTAATTTACAAAATGGAG